TTTTATTTCTGGGCTCTCTATGTTGCTCCACTGATCTATGTGCCTGTTTTTTTGCCGGTACCATACTATTTTGATTTCTATAACTTTGCAGTATATCTGGGAAATCTGGGGTTGTGATACCTCCAACTTTTGTTCTTTTTCACGTTTACGTTGGTTATTTGGGGTCTTTTATGGTTCCATATAAATTTTAGGGTAATTTATACTAGTTTTGTGAAAACTGTTGGTATTTTGATGGGATTCCATTAAACCTATAGATTGCTTTGGGTAGTATGGACATTTTAGCAGTGTTGGCTCTTCTGGTCCATGAGTATGGAATATCTTTCCACTTGTGTCATTTTTAATTTTTTTCATAAATGTTTCATAGTTTTCAGAGTATGGGTCCTTTACCTCCTTGGTTAAGTTTATTCCTAGGTATTTTGTTATTTTGGGTGTAATTATAAATGGGATTATTTCCTTAATTTTTCTTTCTGCTACTTCATTGTTATTCATTAAAAAAAACATTCACCATAATCGAGTGGAATTTATTCCAGGAATGCAGGGGTGGTTCAGTATTTGCTAATCAACCACAATTAATGTGATATATCACATTAATATGAGAAAGAATAAAAACTATATGATCATCTCAATACATAAAGAAAAAGCATTTGACAAAGTACAACATCCATTCATGATAAAAACTCAATAAAATAGGTTTAGAGAGAACCTACCTTGACATAATACTATGAAAAAAACCCCACAACTAATGTCATACTCAATAGTGGAAAACTGAGAGCTTTTTCTATAAGATCAGGAAGAAGACAAGGATGTCCACTTTCCCCATTTTTATTCAACATAGTACTGGAAGTCCTAGCCACAGCTACTGGACAAGAAAAAGATAAGACATGATACTATGTATGTTTCTTTCTAAGAAATGTTAACCACTGGTTGAACTGAAAGTTTACTAAATCAAATCTCTAAATCCATGATGAGACTGGGTAAATGAATTTCTGTTATACATGTTTGGGTCCTATTTAAAAAACAAAACAATTTGACTTTTTGAAATTATGCCATAATCTTCACCCTAAAGAAAAGTCTATATTAACACTATCTTAAATTCCTTTTGAATAATACCATTAGTCTTTTTTGTGTGTTTTATAGAAGTTTTTCACCTGTTGTTTATCACCTATCATATTCTATATTATAGATCATTCTCATATAGTTTACCTAACACTTTTGCCCAGCACTTCAACAATGTTTGGGTTCCTGCTATGTAGCAAGTCAGGAAGAAGGTAATATCACTAGGCTGTGTAATTAATGCTTTAGCTCATTGTACAGTGCTGGTTGCTATGAGCCCTTCATGATGAGAAGGTGGAATAAAACATACAAAATGACCAGTCAATATAGTTCTTTGTTCTGAAGGAATTTCTGGTTGTGTCTAGTTCCAAGAGTTGCATAAATTATTCCTCATCAAATTAGACCACCAACAAATTACCTAGGTGGACCATAGTTACTCGCCTCCTGTAGAAAAACTATCTCTAAGATCTAGACTTAGAAGAGAGATTTTTTTAAGACACCAAATAAAGAATTCTCCTGAATTGGTTTCTTCATTTTTATTAAAGGCATTCTCCATTATTTTGTTCTCTAGATCCCTTATAAAACTTAATACTAGAAAAAAACAATTTTCTCTCTAGGGGATTTAGTATAATTATTTCCAGTAGAGACTAAGAATTCTATAATTCAGTACATATATTGTGGGAGGATTTACATACATGCCTCTCCTTTTCATGGTTTGGCTTTCTGTTCTTCTTTTACAGCCTTATCTAATGAATGCCTTTTACTCTAAGCTGAATTAAATCTCGTTTTGGAAGGATATAAGATTGGAAACTAAAATGAAAATGATAGAACAGTTTAAGAGTATCTGTAAAAATACTCATTTGACTGTAATCAAGTGGTTACATTCATAGTAGGCTGTGCCTTTGAGCACATTATGAGCTAACACCATCAGGATTTTAAAGTGTGATGTTAGCAGTATTCTTCTTGAAGAGCTATAATAGTGATCTTTCCCACCTCTGTACCATCCCCCAAATATTGTCATGATAATAAAAACATCTTTGTCTATTAGTGGTTGGTTAGAAAGTGTGTGTCATTGCTGAAAATCATTAGATATTTAAATAGCTATTGTCTGTAGTCATACTATGATTTCAGTTTGTATAGTGTTTCCCCCCCATAATTGCTTCAAGGTCTTCATTTAAAGCTGTGGTCACCAGTATTCATTCCTTCTACAGTGGCGTGTCTGCAAGGGGAAGATCAAGCTACAAAGTGGTCTTAGAAGAGGTACACCTTTTAAAAAATGGGAGTGTTTGCTTTCTCATTGGCTGAGGCTTAAGTCTGAAGGGGAATCCAAAAGAAATGAGATAGAAATGCAACTTTAAACCTAGGAAAGGAAGGTTAATGTGTATTAATATCAGTTTTCTGGTATGCTGCTGTGTGTGTGTCATTGTGGAAAAAAATGAACATTCCAAACATGGTTATCAAAGCATGTATATTAATGCCAAAGAGCCAAGTTTACATTGTTTTGTTGTAGTCTTAATTAGTAATTACTTTATTACTTTCTATATGTTGGTATCCTGAAGCATAAGCTTTTAGTTCTTCTCCCTCTTTGTTTTTGTTATGCTAATTTGTTTTAATTATGTGACGCATAATTATAGAAAAAAACTAAAATTCTTCATTGATAGTAAATGCTATCATTAAATACACAATTTTTATTCAGTAAGAGCCTGTCCCACAGAGAGCTAACTGCTTTTTTATTCATAGTGTATTGAAGTTTATGTTTTTGATTATTTATTTTCTAGAACTCATCAGATTAAGTCTTAGCAAATTTTGGTAATTTAAAATAATCCATAAGTACATTAATATCAGAGATGTGCAGATTTGTTTTTTTAAGATTTTATTTATTTATTTGATAGAGATCACAAGTAGGTGGAGAGGCAGGCAGAGAGAAAGAGAGAGAGAGAGAGGAGAAAGCAGGCTCTCCACAGAGCAGAGAGCCCGATGTGGGGCTCGATCCCAGGACCTTGCAATCATGACCTGAGTCGAAGGCAGAGGCTTTAACCCACTGAGCCACCCAGGCACCCCTGTGCAGTTATATTTACTAAACTGCCATGACAAAACATAACAAACTAGGTGATTCCCAAATTGAAAATGTTTAGCTTCTTACCAGTATAAGCGTTTTCAGCTCTGTATTTCTGAAATAGTACTTGTATAATTTTACCTGATTTATCAGTGAAATTAATCTTTGCAAGTTTCTTGATCTTACAGATTTTGGAAACCTCAAATCTCAGTCTGGGAGGGGAAGTTTCCAGTTTTACAGTTGGTCATTCACTTATCAAAAAATGTGAAGCACCTACTGTGTGCTGTTGTAGCCGCAAGGGACATTAAAGTGGATGAGAAACAGGTACTACCCTTAAGAAGCATGTGTTACTACATAGGAAAGAAGTATACAAATGGCACAGTACACAATACTACACAAGTGTAGTATGTTATAAAATGCTATAAAGAAGTATGTATGAGGCATAGCATTAACCCAAAGGCAGGAGTAATCTACAAACTGGGTGCCTTGGTCCAGGTTCTCCTCTAGCTTCTGTGATGTCTCTTTCATCCTTCCTGTCAGTTGCCAGAATTAGGCAAGAAAAGGGTTCGGAGAGAAAATCAGCTTTAAATGAGCTAGAGAAGCAGGACCAAGGGGTGCTCAGGGCCAAAGTTCCCTCATTTGGAGCCAAGGGTGACTGAGCTCCTTAAGGTGAGACTTGATGTCTAAAGAGGGTTTCCTCTTCCTTGTTACCTACTTGAGCAAGGATGTTTTGTTCTCATTGATGCATTCACTTCTGCATTTTAAACTTTGTAAGCATTGGGAACTGCATTGGGGTTGGGTTTTTTGTTGTTGTTTTTAAACCGAGGACTTCAAGAATCCAGTTTTGTGTTGGGTACAAGGGCCCTTAATGCAATTCAAATGTGTAGATGGCTTAGCTTCAAGGCTCTTTTCAGCTGGGTGCGAACACTTCAGTACCATGAGAGCTATCTCAAGGTATGGTCCTAACGTGGATGAAATGATGAAAAATGAGAACGAAAAGGGTACTCCCCCCTTTTTTTCTTTTTATATTTAGACTAAAGGAAAAGGAAGGAATGCAAATGGTTGGAAAGTAGAAATAGGCTGGGAGGTAGCTATGGGTAAAACAGGAAGGATAATTAATTCATTGGGTTTCAAGTGCCTGAATCAAGAAGATTAGGAATATAAGGGGAATATCTCAGAGTGCCACATGTAGGTTGGCAATGACACATGACTTTCTACTTGGTTTAAATCTACTGATAGATTAGGTTTTAGCTCTTGGTAATATGTAAAATTCTTTGTATATAGGTTATAAAGTTTTATTGAATTCAGTTCATCTTTATGATTTATTCCTAAATAGTTCTCAATATTATAATGTCCTTAGTCTTTAATTTAAAAACTTGGAGTTGGAGGGGTGCCTCGGTGGCTCAGTCAGTTAAGCATCTGCCTTCGGCTCAGGTCATAATCTCCAGATCCTGGGTTCAAGCTCTGCATTGGGCTCCCTGCTTAACAGGGAGTCATTTCTCTCTCTCTCTCTCTGAAATAAATAAAGATCTTTTAAAAAAAAAAATTGCAGATAAAAGTTGAGTTTTTGCTAAATCTATACAGAAATTCAAGTCATTCTGGGGGTCAGAATTATGTTAATGTATTATTTGTGAAATTACAAGCTACTGCTCTACTATAATCTGTTACCATCACTGGTCATTCATATGTATTAGAAATAAAACTCTATAATTACCTATTGCAGTAGGCATGGTGTACTCTTAGTTCATTTAGTGACCACTCTTAGTCTGGCTTTTCAGATTAATTTAATGATCTGAAATAAAATATATAGGGAGAAAGAGAGAAAAAGACTATGTGTGTTTCACTGTTCTCTGAAGTATGAGCTCATCTTATTGACCTTTTTGTAAATTAGATGCTTTCTGATGCAGCGCCCGGAAAACTGAGAATTGTCCACGGAGATGTGTTGACATTTAAGATTGAAAGGGCTTTTCCAGAAAGTCTTAAAAGACAGTGGGAGGATGGTAAGTGATTTTGGATTTTTTTCTTATTTTCTTTTAGAATTATTTATATTACAAATATTTATGTTGTTATATATTACAAACATGATTATATATTTATATTAAATATTATCAGAACAGAATTAAGTAGGTGGTATGCATTGTAAATTTTTCTGCTTTTCTACTTTTTTCCAGAATAATAAATCTAATTCCTTTTTCTTAATTCTAATTTACTTGTCATGTTTTTCAAATGTTGAGAATTTTCTTCAAATAAACATGCTATTTTTGTGATACCATATAAGGATGGGATAAACTATGAAGTGTTAACTTCTTCCAAATGGTGAAAAAAGAAATGTTTTAGTAAACCATGCCCCACCTTATTTCCACTGTCTCACCTTCAGTGACCCGCCAAGGCACTGCTCATCTGCAGGCTGTTGATTGGGTACATGCTGTGTGCCAGCTCTTGGGGATACACTGAGAGGCGGGCTCTATTACTTGCCTGTGAAACCCTTCAGAGCAAACGGAGGCGCTGCTGGCCGGCCTCCATCTCCGCCTCCTGTCTCCGCCTTCCAACACACCATTCTTTTCTAAGCGCACTGGTCCAGGTTTCCAGCCTTGCCCCAGCCATGCTCTAATTTCCTCTTTGAAACCTTATCTGACTGAGCTCTCAGGCATTTATGTGACTGTTACCTGCTCTCTTCCAGAAGCTCTCTATGCTCCGTCTTCCCTGATACCAGGTTCTCCTGTTCTTCCTTTTACATGGTGTGAGCTTTCTCTAGCTATTCTTTGCTGGTGGTTATTTTTCCCCCCACCTCTTAGATGTTATTTCTGAGGTTTTTATTTTTGGAGCATCTTCTCTTATGCTGCAGATTGGCCTGAAGGACTCTGCTCCTGTGGTCTCATTGACCATGCATGTATCGCAGACACTTCCATCTTGGTGCGCAGCCTGTATGCCCTTCCTGGACATCTGACCCTCTTGTCAGCTACATCTGGTGTAGGCACTTCGACCACATCATGTCCAGATCAAATTGTCTTTTCCTGCAAACCAAGTCTTTTTCATATTTTTCCTAAGCCCAAAAACCTGAGGACTCTGAGCACTAATTAAGGTAGAATTTTTTTTCTTAATAATTCAAAGCTAATTATGAGAAAACATTGCCTTTGAAAAATAGAATGAAAAATACTTAGCGGATCTTTTCATATATTTTTGTTTATTACTATTAGTATCCAATTTGATTTAACTTAACTAAAATTATATTCAGAATCCACTAATAAAATCTTTACAAGTTGTTTTTTCTCCTACTAACCAGATCCTCCAAATGTACACATTATTGGAAATCTGCCTTTTAATGTATCAACTCCGCTGATTATCAAGTGGCTTGAAAATGTTTCTTGTAGAGATGGACCTTTCATTTATGGCAGAACCCAGATGATGTTGACTTTTCAAAAGGAAGTGGCAGAGGTGAGTTTTAACTTTTTTTGGCTATTTTATCACATAATCAAATTCTAAAATGAAATAATACTGCATTTTTTTCATAGACTATGTTTTCTAAGTTAGTACTGCGATTACACACACAAACCAATAAGAGCTCAACCAAAAGTTGAGCCTGTAATGATGATGACAGGCATAAGTGCTCTAAGCTCTCCACGGAGAACATGAAAGCTATGCCGCCCGCCAAAAAGACAACGTAGTCCATGCAGGGACTCAGTAGGGCCATAGAACAATTAGAAACCGATAAAACCGATACTGGTGGTGATACAGGAATACGATGATAGTTAAAGAATGTGGTAATCAGTTTGGAGAGGGGGAAGGAGGTTGGTGTCTCCTCATGCTGTACCTAGGTTTGGCCCAATCCCTTCTTCAGCTGTGTCTTCTGTGCCTGCATTCCCATGGCAGGAATGTTCCAGATTCACTCTAGCAAATAATCCTACAAGGTAGGCAAGGGCAGTTTGTGAGCTGCAGAGGTTTAATGAGGGGATCTGCAGACCGTTAAGTGTTTTTGAAAAAATTTTTCTTACGACCTACAAATACAGAAGAGGATCTGACATCTTTGTGTGGCTTAATAAGAAGAATACCCGAGTCCCCGCTGACTGGCATCAGTGGTTATATTCCCAGCATCTTTGACACCCCCTCGTATCCCCATTGTGATGGGATTGTATCTCCTGTTCTCCACCTGCCACCGAGGTAATCATACTGTGAATTCTGGACTTACTATTCCCTGCTTAGTTTATCCCATAGATTCCTAGCTGTATAATTAATATACTTTAGTTTTCTCCATTTTTGAACTTACACAGATGGATTCATACAGCATGTATTTTTTTTAATCCTGATTCACTCAGTGCTGCTCATAGCTATAGTTTATTTGTGTAGCTAGATACTACCCACTCTTCGACTAGCTCATAATTTGTCTGTCCCTTGCCATGTTTTGGAACCCCAAATTAGTTTCAGTGTTTGTTATTACAAAGAAAATGGTCATGAAGATTATTTATGTCACCTGGAGCACACAGGCAAGCTTTGCCTAGAGTATAAATCCAGGAGTAGCAGTGCTGGATTCTAAGTTCTGCAAATCTTCACTTTCAATAGATAATGCTAAACTGTTCTCTGAAGTCATTATGCCTGTTATGTTCCCACCAAGTACGAGTTCATTTTGCTCCACATCCTTGCCAGTACTTGCAGTTGCCAGACTTGTGTGTTTTGGTTCATCAGAGCTGAGTGTTGTATCATTGTGGTTTTATTTTTGTTGTTTGCTGATTTCTTAATCAAATTGAGCACTGTTTTGCATGTTTATTGACCTTTTAGATAACCTCTTTTTTATGAATTGCTTGCCTTGTGTCTGTTTTCTGTTGGATTGCTTGTCTTTTTCTCATGATTTGGAGGAGTTCTAACATTTTTCATACTCGTCTTTTTTTAGTTAAATGTATTGCAAATTTCTTCCACTCTTTGGCATGTTATTGTCTTTACAGTGTCTTTTGAAGAGATGTTTGTTTGTTTGTTTGTTTGCTTTTTAAAGATTTTATTTGTCTATAGAGAGTGTGCAAGCAACAGCAGTGGGTTGGGGCAGAGGGAGAAGTGGACTTAGCCCTTGGGCTGGAGGACCAACTGAGCCACCCAGGCACCCTGAAGAGCAGATGTTTTTAATTGTAAATTTATGGTTAGTGCTTTTTGTGTCTTATTGAGGAACTCCCTTTATATCCTATATCATAATGATCATCTGTGTTATCTTTAGAAGTTTTATTTTTTTTACCTTTCACATTTACATCTATAATTGACTTGGGATTGATTTTTGTGTGTGGTTGAAAAAGAAGCCAGTTTCACTGTTTTTAATCTATGATCCTTATGAATCTAGCACTAGTTATTGGAAAGTCTTTTTCATTGATCTCTGTCAACACCTTTGATATAATGATAAAGCCTATATAAGCACTGGCCTAACTGGAGACACTAAGAAGAAAGATTGTGTGAAAAATAGGAAACAGAAGGCCTAGCACAGAAGATACAGCAGGGAATCCTAAGAAGAACATTCATTTCACATCAGAGCAGAACAAGAATTTAGTAAAATACTTAAGTTTGCATATACTGAGAGAATAGTTACATAAAGTTGGAGAGAATGTAGGATTGAATTAGTGATAAGTGAACAGAAAATTAAGTACAATAGGGATGGAAGCAAAGTATATCACTATTAGAGGAGTAAAAATATTATTGGGAAGAAAATCAATTGTTTATTTTGGGAACTTAAGGAAAAAAGAGGGACCTATATGAAAATAATCACAAAACTTTACTGAGAATCTCAAAAGACCACTTGAGACAAATCAAGAGAAATAGAGCCCTGGAAGAAAAAATGAGTATCATAATGATGCTTCATTTTTTCCAAATTATGTTTTTTTCAATAACATCCTAAAATGTAGTGAAGTTCCCGGGATCATCTTGAGGAGTGGACATGCAAGAATGGATGAGAAATTTTGAAAAAGAACATTAATGAAAGAAGGCTTACCTATCAGATATTAAAGTGTATTTTAAAGCTCTAATAATTAGAAGCACTGTGACAGATTATGAGACAGAGTGGCTACATTCGAAGAACCAGATTGAGGGAAATGATTGGTTCATACATTGGCAGAAACAAAAGGAAGAAAAAGATTATTTAACAAACGCTTGGATATTTGGTTAACTTCCATGAAATCATTTAATAATTCACCATATATAAAAAATGAACAAGAAATAAAAATAATTCACCATACATAAAATTTCCAGTTACTGGAGCCCGGCAGACACAGCGTCCAGCGTGAGCTAAGCTGCTGCCATCCACTAGAAGCTCAAGCAGCTCTGGAGGCACTTGAGGTCGGGGGAGGGGCCGGGGGGGTGGTGCTGGACACACCAAATGAGAAGGTATTGTGGTAGCCTTACATGAAGAACCAGGAAAACCCTAGTAGTGCTTTGGACTTTTTAAAGCATCAGTTAGAAGCTGCTAACCCAGAAAATCCAGAAATAGAGCTGCTTCGCCTAGAATTAAGCAGAAAATGGGAGAGAAATACAAAGCTATTAGTAGAAGAAAGTAAAAAATTGAACATAAAGCTTGCTCAGTATGAACCACCTGAGGAGGGGAAGCATGCTGAATAGGATTCTTCTCAGTTGAAAAGACACCAAAAAGTGATTTTGTATGACTCGAATAGTTTGTATAGTATATAATCTTTTATGAACAGATGCCATACAACTCTCTTGATAGATTGAATTTACCTGTATCATCATATTTTATTCGAAACACATCTACTGAGAAGCACTGATAATAACTCAATTAAAAAAAAAAAAAACCCCAGTTACTGTGTCTTCAGATTCATTCCTCTTTTCTGCAGTGTCTAAGCTGTTGTACGTAATTTATTTTTCATTTCAGGTATTTTATTTTTACTTCTAGAAGTTCCATTTGGGTCTTATATTTTCCCTTACCTCCTTATGTTCATGCTTTCCTTGGCATCTTTGTGCATATGTATAATATTTATAATAGCTGTTTAAAGGTCTTTGACTATTAATTTCACTACCTCTGTTATTTCTGTACTATTTTACTGTTTGCTTTTTTTCCCCTCCTCTTTCTATGGGTCCTATTTTTCTGCTTCTTTACAAGCCTGGAAATTTTTGACAAGATACTAGATTTTGTGAGGATTGGTTTCGTTTTAACCTTCTTGAGGGCTTGGGTTGAGTGGTGGGTTTTAGTCCGGCACATTGCTAAGTCACTTGCACATTGGTTTGAAGGTTGCTTTTAAGCTTTGTTATGACAGGTTCTTAGCAGCCTTTAATCTGAGGCTAATTAAGTCCCAGGACTAAGTTAAAACCTTTCAGAGGAATCCTTCTAGTGCCCTGTGTACTTCAAGAGCTCTTCATTTGGCTGCTGGGAATGCAAACTGTTTCTAGCCGTCTGTGAGCTCCATTTTGTCCTCCTTTCTGATAGTACTTTCTCCAGCCTCCCAGCCTCCCAGCCTCATGCTCTTACAGATCAATACTCAGCCAAAGACTTGAAAGGATCCCGCTGAAAATCTCAGGAACTCCCTCTTTCCCATTCCCCCATCTCTCTCTCTCTCTCTCTCTCTCTCTCTCTCTCTGTTCCCGCATCCAGTAATCTGCCTCACAGATTCTGGCTGCCTTGGCCTCCCAGAGCTCTGGCCTCTGTCCTCTCACATCGAGGAGACTTCTGGGCTCTGTTTATGCTCCTGCCTATGCTGGAGCCGGAGTATAGTTTCCAGACTGCAACCTGGGCAGTCATAAGGTTCACCTTCTTTTTTATTTGCCTGTGTGGCAGTGACAACGATAAAAGCAACTATTACTTACGGAATGCCTACTAATAGCCACTTTACATATGTTTTTGTATTTAAGCCTCAAAGTCACCTCATGAAATAGGTATTTTTTTTAATTGACCTTGACATACAATGTTACCTTAGTTTAAGGTGTAACATAGTGAATCAATGACTCTGTGCTTTATGCTATCCCCCCCCGCCCTGCCAATGTAGCTACCATCTATCAGAATACAACACTATTACAGTACCACTCACTATATTCCCTGTGCTGTACCTTTCATCTTTGTGACTTACTAACTTTTGATAGGAAAGAACACGGAGGTGGCTCAGTTGGTTAAGTGTCTTGACTCTTGATTTCAGATCATGATCTCAGAGTTGTGAGATTGAGCCCTGCATCCGGCTTCACACTGGGTGTGGAACCTGCTTAAGATTCTTGCTCTCCCTCTCCCTCTGCCCCTCCATCCTCCCACTCCCTCTCTTTTTAAAAACAAAACAAAACAAAACAAAAAACCGAAGCTCAGGGATTTTAGCTGTCAATTTTGTTCATCTTTTCAAAGAACCAGCTCTTGGTTTCATTGATCATTTCTACTGTTTTATTAGACTCTGTTTCATTTACTTCTGTTCTGATCTTCGTTACTTACTTCCTTCTGTTAGTTCTGGGCTTTGTTCTTTTTCTAGCTCCTT